CGGGCTGGGGGGGGGGGGGGCAGTTAGGGGCAACCAGGCAGGCAGGGGAGAGCAGTTGGGGACGATCAGGCAGGCAGACAGAGAGATTAGGGGCGATCAGGCAGGCAGGTAGAAGGGTTAGGGGCAATCAGGCAGGCAGGCAGAGTGGTTAGGAACGATCAGGCAGGCAGGCAGGTGAGCGGTTCGGAACCAGTGGTCCCAGATTGTGAGAGGGATGTCGATTGGAGAGGGTGCAGGCTGGACTGAAGGACCCCCCCGCCCCCCTGTGCATGAATTTTATGCACCAGGCCTCTAGTTATTAAGTCAGTGTTACAGTTTTCAAATCACTTAAACACGCTGTCCTTCCTTTTGGTAATGACACTATAAGTACTCAGTTATTAGGGGGAGAATCATGTGGTGAAAACTAAGTCTTATCTACCCTCAAATTATCATAAACTGAATGGTGAGTGGGTGGGGGAAAAGTCTTTGGGGACAGTACCAATATTGGTCTTGAAATACATCAAGAATAAAACCTATAGTCACAGGGACTTTGAATAAGTTAATTGAGTTAAAAAATAACTAACGTTTATTGAACATGTACTATGTGCTAGGACTTTTTAAAAACTTCTATTTAAATCAATTAATTTTATTTCTTAGAGTAGATTTAGGCTTTAAAAAATATGAACAGAAAGTACCAAGTTCCCGTATATTCCCTTTCCTTCACCTCTGCCCACAATTTCTTCCATATTTGCATTGAATTGTGTACTCCCAGTTAGGGTAGAAATCCTGACTCCCAGTATCTCCAAATGTGACCTTATTTGGAAATAGAGTCTTTGCACATGTAGTCAAGTTAAGATGAGGTATGGGCTCTAATCCCATATGACTGGGATAGCCCCTCCATTCATTCATCCTTCCCTTCCTCCCCCACCCCAACCTATGGCAACCATTGATTTTGTCATTGTTTCTATATCTTTGCCTTTTCCAGAATGGCATATACTGATAGTTGGAATCATACAGCATGTAGCCATTTCAGACTGTTGTTTTTTTCACTCAGCAATATGCATTTACGTTTCCTCCATGTTTTTTTTTTTTTTTTTGTGGCTTGATAGCTTGCTGAGACATTTTAAAATATGTAATCTTATTTTATCTATATAATAAACCTGTGAGGTAGCTATTATAATCCCTATTTTACAGTATGTGCTCTTAACCATGATAATATTCTTGGACTAAGCCACTATTTCCTTTTGGGAATTGTTTTTCCTTTCAAGGAATAAGTAAGAGCACTACAGGGAATTCCTGAGAATATTATTGCCAGTGATCTCTGGATTAATTCATTCAATCATATAAACTCGGGTATGAAGTGATCTTTAAAATTACCCATGCCTCTTTAATTTCAAACCCATATGGAAAATCATAAAATTATCATGTCTCAGAGGCATTAATTAAATTAAACCTTGCAGATATGTATTAAGCCCTTATAATTTTATTGTTACTTCTTTTTTTTCTTTATTGATTAAGGTATTACATGTGTGTCCTTACCCCCCATTGCCCGCCCCCATTATTACTTTTTTGTAAGATTCATAGATTAGGATGGCCATATCCTGGAGAGCATCCTTGCATACTTTTTTTTGAGATGTTAAGAGTTTTTTCTCTTGGATTGCACCTTCCTCAGTACATGCCTTTCTCTTCTGACCCACTATACCCTCATTCACAACATAACAATTTCTCTGTTATTGCAAGGAACTCTAGTCTTTCAGCACTCCTAACCATTATTAGACAGATCCTTTCTGACTATTCATCGTACTGTGTCTACTATAAATTGCATGGTCCAACTACCTCAATGAAACCTCACGACAATATTTATACCTTCAATATTCAATGACTATTTACTGAACATTTATTATGTACTGGGTTCTGCTCTAGACACTGGGGATTCAACAGTGAACA